AAAAATGGGAATAATTGATTTTAGCCAGACAATAATGAAAATTTTATAGGACTTAAAGTCTGCTTTAAATTTCAAACAAAAAACAAGAGGAAAAAACTGAAAATTTTTTCATAATGATTAACATTGAGCTTTATATTTTTTTTAGCTCCGAGTCTTCAAGTTGGCAAAATCCTGGCCAACACTGAACATGCTGATAAAGATCATCGGTAACTCAGTGGGGGCTCTGGGTAACCTCACATTGGTGTTGGCCATCATTGTCTTCATTTTTGCTGTGGTTGGCATGCAGCTCTTTGGTAAGAGCTACAAAGAATGTGTCTGCAAGATCAATGATGATTGTACGCTTCCACGCTGGCACATGAATGACTTCTTTCACTCCTTCCTGATTGTGTTCCGTGTGCTTTGTGGAGAGTGGATAGAGACCATGTGGGACTGTATGGAGGTCGCTGGTCAAGCCATGTGCCTTATTGTTTACATGATGGTCATGGTCATTGGAAACCTAGTGGTATGTAATGAGATATTCACATATTTAAAATTCTCTGTGGAAATTATTTTATGACAATATGGTTTTTTATTTTTAGAATGTCACAATTAATTACATCTAAAATTATTAATTGTAACAGAATACCAATAATTTTAATAAAAGGAAGAACAGAAAGGAAAACAAAATATTATGTTAATTTCCCTGGCCAGATAACCTATATTTATATTTTTCAAAATCACTGCTTGTTAATTTAGTACAAAGCTTTCTACTTTATTCTCTCATTTTGATAGTCATATCATGTGAATCAAATCTATAGTTTTCATGTCTCTTGAAGCTATAATAGTAAATAACACATGGTTACGTTAACAATAGCAAAATGATGTTATAATGGACCAAGACAAATGAAAAGACTGGTCATGCCACATTATAGTCCCATATAAGACTAGCATCTGTAGCAAGGATCAGCAAACTATGGCCCACTGACCAAATCCAGTCCAATACCTGTTTTTGTATGGCCTGTGAGCTAAGAATGATTTTTACATTTTTAAATGGTTAAAGAAATGTAAAGAAGAACAATGGTTTCTTGATACCTGCCCATAATATGAAATTTAAATTTCAATGTCCATAAGTAAAGTTTTATTGGAACATGGACATATTCACTTATTCACATTTACTCTGTGGCTGCTTTTACACCCCAGTGGCAGAGTTGAGTAGCTGCTATAGAGACCCTATAGCCTACAAAGCCTAAAACGCTTATTATCGGGCCCTTTGCAGAGTTTGCCAACCACTGATCTGTAGCATCTCTTCTGCATAGCAGTCTTCCTAAATTTTCCAATTAGTGGGTTTGTTTGTTTTGTTTTGTTTTTGGCTTGTACTTCTTTTCTGTTTCTTTCTTCCTTAACCTGGTTGGCCAAAATTTTCAAGGTTACAAGCAGGAGAAAATTGGGATAAGATGCTCTCCATGAGCCACTCACCTCAATTTTCAAATCTGCTATGTTGGGTTGTCTCAATTGATCAGCTTGCCGTCAAACCCCTCATCAGGTATCCCAAAAGATGGGGTACGGTAACAGCCACGTGGTAAGTATTAATACTTTCACTTTCTACTGGCTTGAAAAGAAATTGCCAACATATTATTGTCCTTGCAGCCCCCATATAAAAAATGATTCAGAGGTCAGGACAGAAACACATTCATCAAATCATATGCTAAATGAAACTGTGCCAGACATATACAGAGTGAATTATGCAATGCAACTTCTAGAACTTTCCTGCACAAAATATATGTATCATTAATTACCATTCTATAACTCTGGATCATCCTCAAGTAGTAGTGATAAATAAATTTCCTAGTTTCATATGGGCTTACAAATTCCTTCTAATATGGAATGTGATACACATTCTCTTTGGTTCTTCTTCTGAGTTTAAATTTTGTATTTGTAGGCTCCCATAACAATATTGCTTGTATATTTCTTGTTACAAAATTTTCAACATAAAATAGTGAAATAGTGAAAGATATAAGTTGTGAAAACATGTCACACCAAAGTCATTGATCACAAGTAATTTAAATGTTTATTACTTGCTTGGGCATATGCAAAAGGAGGGACATTCCCTGGGCTCTCATGAAATTATCCATTAACTATTCCTCAGTACTTTCTCTGTGAAAAGAAATATATTTAGATATTGTTTAGGTAGGAAGGTAGCATTTACATATTATTTAGGTAGGAAGACAAAAACCATTACCTTTGCTCTAATCCCTGTCTTTAAGATGCTCCTAGTCTATTAGGACAGAGAAAGTGGTACACAAAAATTACCAGACAAG